GATTTATTGTTTAATTGCGATGCCGATCAAAAATCTTCACCGGTGAAACGATGATGATCCGTCTCCGAAGAAAACTCTCCACTGGCCGCACGCCATGTTGAAATTCAGTACCTACCTAAAATTATAATGTCTATTATGAGATATGGATGTGTTATTAATTATACTTATCATATTTCTAAGTACTCACTACCTATATCGTTTAATTATATAGATAGGTATAGATACTAAGATACGTACTATAATACCTATTAGTATTTCATTGGCATAGGTATTACAATGTGTATATTTTCTGTGTTTTCCCAAAACTAAAAATAATTTTCATATTGCACAGTAAATTGCCGTCTTCGATATCATACGTTGAATGAATCATGCGTTTGAAACCAGGGCTTGCATTTGAAAAAAAAAATTCCCTTTTATGTTATTTACAATTAAAACGTTACACAATTATTGCGTTTATCGTTATTTACAATTAAAACGTTATTCAACTTTTGCGTTTATCGTTATACAGAATTAAAACGTTGCACAAGTTTTTCATTTTGTTATATTTATGGAAAATTAAAGAGGATGTCAGCGCACTGTTTGTTTTCTCTCTTTGACCCCCATGCGCAACATTGACAAAACGCATTTGCGAAGAATAGTTTTTTCTATGTTTTTAAGTAATCTTAGAGTAAAATCGCCCATCACAAAAAAGATAGAAAATAATAATTTAGATATATATCGACTTTATATTTTATTGTTATTTGACTTTGTATTCGACTTTCAAAATAAGCAAACAAATTTTGTAAATTTAAATGATTTTTAAATTGTTTTAAAACAATATTTAGAGAAATCGATATGTCATTCCCTCAAAAATATTATTCTTCATCTTTTTTGTGATGGTTCATTTTACTCTAAGATTACTTAATATCGTAGAAAAACGATTCTGCGCAAATGCGTTTTGTCTATGTTGCGCGTGGGCCAGAGAGAGAAAACAAATAGTGCGCTGACATCATCTTAATATAATTTGTACTAGGTGTAGGTTTTATTGTAATTTTTATATATTAATTGTTGTTTACATTTTATAGAGATTGTTTTATGAATGGAGTTTTTCCGTCAATAAAGAAAGAATAATAGATAAATAATAATATCCATATTGTATATGGTATATTTGCTACATATTATAATACTTTCCACAAAATTATGAATGGAATCTTTTATATTTTCCAGGTATGGTTTGGTCACTCTAAAGTCGTCTCATGCGTACAGAAAGCACAACAACCCGAAGCCATGATCAAATCTGTAATTATTGTGCGTGCCAAGAAATCTAGTTTCAATAGAGAAATCCATCATCATCATGTGGAAATAACGAATAAGCGGTAGCAAATACTGTTTTAGGTACATAAACTATTTTATTATTTTTATTGAGTATTTTCGTTTAAACAACTATAGACTATAAAGTATAATAATATAAGACTATTATATAGTATACCTAGTGTATTGAATTTACAAAGTAATTATTACACATTTAAATATTTAATCATAAAAATTAATTATATTCCCAGGCCCTATTATGGCTTATACAAGTATATAATATTTCATATTATTAATTGTATTAAGTAGAAGTGTACCTATATACAATTATATTATTTCTGAAGTGTAGTAGTATAGTTGTTAACGATGTTTGAAATTCAACCTACAATATTAGATTAATTTTAAATATAATGCTTAGTAGATTTTTATGAAGTTTCTATCACAAAATATTACTGAAATATCTAATCATATAAAATAATAGTTATAAATAGGGCACAGAACTTGTAGCCACAAAAAGTCGCCAAATATGCATATTTGAATACCCAAAATATGCATTCATAAAAATATTCCTAAAATTTAAAAAATACATTTTAATGCCGACAATGTCGACACCAAATTCTAAGCGATTATTTATAAATTAATGACATTTTATGAATACACTGCAAATTAATTTTATCGTCTTATCGGCGATCTTCAAGCGTGAAAAAACGTGCGCCCGTCGACAGTTAAAAACCATATTATACGACTAAAACTAAAAATTAATTTATGTTTTGCTTGTATTATTTAAAATATAAACTTTAGTGGAGAAAAAATTTACAAAATTATTAATTATGTTAAAATACGTCTCCTAAAGAATACAATTTAAGAAATTAAGCCCTAAAACAAAAATAACTCAAAATAATAAATATGCATTTATATGCAAAATCAAATTTCAAAACTATCTTTGTAATATATTCGTATCGTAGTCTGCTAATTTTTGTGACTGTGTAAAACAAATATGCAAATTCTACAAGTTCTCTGGGCTAATTATCAACAATTCTCGGAGGATGACCAAATCAAAAGGACCATAATACAGTGGAAATTTTCAAACAATAAAAATGTGCTTGAGACACGAAAATAAACCTTCTTGGTTTTATTATTATCTTGTTAAGTTAATTTAATAGGTAAATATTTTACTACATTTTGACCTTATAAGAAACAATGTATAATTAACTAATGTATGTTACGGTCAAATACGTTATTTGAACAAAAACGTCATTGACTAAGAATGGCTAATTATCTACCTAGCAATATGAGAAAATGTTGTTAAAAATCAAAATTCTAACTGCAAATTACATTTTTGACCCGTCAAAAATGCCACTGCCCAGGACTGATGATGGCCAATAATGATGATAAATGGAATATTATTATATCTTATTATTTATTTTCACCCACAGAGCTGTAATCACATAACTCTAATAATTACGAGCATTCTATTAATTGAATACAAATTTGACACAGTAAATACTGTTTGTATATCATTAAACTAAAAAACCAATAGACACCTATTGTAGTATATCCGTTTATACTTTTTTTACAATAGTTTAGATTGGTGCAGTGCATTTTTCCCGGTTTACCATAATTATTATTAATTAACGAATAAATAGAACGCTTTTCATTTGAATAAATTCAATAAAGAAAATGATAAATTTAATAAAGTTAGGTTAAATTAATTGTATTATGTAACATAGACATATTATATTATATATAGTACTTACATCATCCGTTGGTGAGATAAATTATATATATAATATATATCGGCATATTGCTAAGCAGTGCGCTTCAACAACTAACAAGTTCCATACCTACCACAAAAGGCATTACAGATTACGATTACTACTTATACTTTATGATATTGAGTGAAGACATTATATAACTACCTATCCAGCAGTTGAAATAAACGCAGTTTCAAATATTTCCTTTTAAAATAATGACTTATGATAAAATCCAACAATACAATATTATATTATATTCGATTCATCGTCATTTAAGATTTACATGATATAAAATTCAAAAATAAATGTAATATAATACATACAAAATATTAATATTACATTTTTATTCGGTCACATAAAGTTATCGGTCTATGAAGTTAGGTATATTATAATGGCCGGATATTGGATAATTTGATATTTCATAATTGTCCTACGTTTAGAGTAAATATAAAATTTCTCAGTAATTAACGTTATTTTCCACATTGACCTATCTACCTAACATATATTATTACATTATTTATAAGCAAACTCCGTAACAGTATGTTATGCTTTAAAGTTTAAGGGGATCCATTAAAGTGTCTAGTGGTTTACACTTGTTATTTTGAAAAGTTTTAACTTTTTTGAAAATATTTTTTATACATACTTTGATATCTTTGCTAAATAACATCTTTGAAAATGAATTATATTTATGTAATTTCGTTATCATTTAATATTTGTATTTGTTTGAACCACCACATACATATTTTATTTCGTATCCTTATGCAGAATATTTTCTGGAACATTTTGATACATAAAATTCAAATTTTGTAGTTAATTACTTATCACTTATAACTTATAAGTATTTAATTATAAGATGAGCGGTGTAAAGTGGCAAAAGGTTACCCCCGCAAAATGTTGGACTACTATTCCGTTCATCTAAACTTCAAATACTTATAAGTTACAACTAACTAACTACTCGTTCGTAATTCGATTTTGATGTATCGAAATTCTTGGAAAAGTATTCTACTCTCGAATATAAAATTAAAATTATATGTTGCCGTTAACAAAGTAAAAAATTACAACGATAACAATATATTGATGATACTTTTGTTCTTTAATTTTTAATTTTTAATTATTTTTTGTTGTTAAGAAATGTTCTCTTTCAGTTCTCTGCACCATTTTCGTTTAAGAAGAAGAGGAGGGTTTCCTGGGATGGCTAATGTAACTACGATAAAAATTTAAAAAGAAAAAATAAATTTTTTTCTGAAACGTTGTTTTTCAATCAATCAACTATGAAAAAAATAATCTGTTTACTTACTGTAATATTGGTACTGCACATGCTACCTGCATCGTAAATTTATTTCGTTAATATACTACCTATACCTACAAATTTTAATATTATTATGATAGAAATATTTTATCTCATTAAAATTTTTATAAATTATTTTCAGTAAATATTTTTAATCAAAAATTACTTTCGTTAAAAATTCGAACTAATTAAAACGATATTTGTCAGCTTTACGTCACTCCAAAATAACGCCGTAAACACAGTATCAGTTATGAATGTATTTGCCACCACCATTCCTCCTCGTGTGCCGCTGAAGTAGATTTGTTACTCCCTTTGTCTTAACTCCATATCATTGTTTTATCAACTTCTATAATAAATCTATATTTTGTATTATCCATTTTATTATTTTATTTTATTTACCAGAGTATATTACGCCACAACCGATTGACACTATAATCAACAATTACTATATTATATTTTTGTTCTAAACTTCGAAACACTTAATTAGTAGGCACTGAACTATCAAAATATAATAGTTATTAATTTATATTAAATATGGCCTATAGGTATAAAAAAAAATAATTGTAGGTAGCCTACAAGTACCTTAATATTTTCGTATTTTGGTCTGTGGTGTTAGGTAGATTTTTATTTGAAATTATTGACAATAGTGTATTGATGATGTTACAGGAATGGCTGCGTTTATCGGGATCGGCGTGTTGAGGCATATGTTATACCGTCTGATATTTTGGGCGGCTATATTGTTATGCCTCTCACAACTGTTGTTAACGTTATGGAGATCAGACCGGCCGATGGCAATGAAGTCGAGCAACATCAACACCAGGATGATCCTGCAGAATATGATAGATTTTCATATCGCACGGACCACAACACCGCCTTACGAGAGCCTGTTGACCGTCGAACCATGGGTGGACAAGCTGTCTGTGCAATCGGAACAGCTAATCATGGACCAAGTACAAAAACGGCTACCTAATCTACCCGTTACGTATTGGAACCAGAATAAGAACAAAGCGATGTACTACAAAAACGAGAGCTGTGCCAAGTTCCCGAGTATATACGAATTGGAATTCAACAACGTGTACTGGCAGTCGCTGCAGACGTCCAACGGGTCGTTTCACCTCTACAGCGCTTACTACGACGTGAGAAAGCTGAGTAGGATCGGACCAGCGGTCCGGATACTTGGCATGATCAACCGGATCGAGCCGACGGTCAAGACTCACTGTCAGTTTTGGTTCGATGACCACAAGCAGCCCGTCATCGTGAAAATTATGGAATACAAATACATATGGTACAAGAAGTGGGGCAACTACAAGCAGGGCATATTTCAGCCGTACCTGATCGCCTGCCAGATACCCAAGTCCCACCACCACGCCGTGCCAGCTTCCGTTTCATTGGTGGAGAACGTGTGTGATAAGGCCACCAACAATCTGCGAGTGGTGTACAACCGTCCGGCTGTGAAGAAGGGTTTCGCGGTGTGCGTCAAAGGCCTGGACTTCCTGTACGAAGACCTGTCGGTGCGGTTGGTCGAGTGGATCGAGCTGCTGCATATCCTGGGCGCGGACAAGATATTCTTTTACCAGCTGCAAGTGCACCCGAACATCAGCAAGGTGCTCGACCACTACGAGTCCTTGGGCCGCGTGCACGTGACGCCATTGACGTTGCCCGGTGGCCAGCCCAACGTGCCGGGATTCCAGCACCTGTACCTGACCAAAAAGGTGAACCACAAGCGGCAGAACGAACTGATACCGTACAACGATTGCCTGTACCGGAACCTCTACTCATACGACTACATAGCTCTGTTGGACATCGACGAAGTGATAATGCCTATTCGGACCAGGACGTGGAAGGAGCTCATGGAAACGGTGATGGTGAAAGCGCTGGCGGCCAGGAACGAGACCCGCGCTTCGTACAACGTCCGGAACGTTTATTTCCTGGACGATCTGATCCACACTCACGGTTGGTTCAAGACCATTCCTAAGTACATGCACATGTTACAGCATGTGTACAGGAGTAAGAACTACACGAAACCGAATCAGTACGTGAAATGCTTTCACAACCCCGAAAGAGCATTGACGCTGCACAACCATTTTCCGCTGGCTTGCTTGAGCCAGGGATGTACCTCGTACGCTATGGACACGACGGATGCACATCTGCAACATTATCGGGCTGACTGCGTGAAGACACTGAAGAAAACTTGCACGGAGTTCAGACAGAACAGTGTGATCGACACGACCATCTGGAGGTACAAAAGAGATCTCATATCCAGGGTGTCGAACACGTTGTCGTCTCTGGGTTTTTTCCCCGCCATATGACAAAAAACGGATTGAAAAAACAAATCATTTAATATCGTTATACCTATACCGTATGTCCACGAAAGCAGGGTACACCAGAAGTTGTTGAGCAAAATACAAGGGTTAAAAAATTGTTAGTCATATGGGAATTTATGATCCAATAAATAAGTCCCACGTCCCGCAACCAAAATTCAATACACACGGTATAGAATAATATAAATAACTGAGACATACAGTCTACAGTCTGCTTTTGTGAACACACGGTATATTATATAAATTATAATAATTAGACTATTTTCATATAGGTAACATAGATATTTGAAAAATCGTACCAACACGTGCGATGACGTTTCATGAAACTGTAAATAGCTTATTACACGCGCGTCACACCAACAGATATCTTAAATTATTATTATTGAAATAGGACGTACCTCTTTATAGCTACATATTTCATAGTGAACAACAATTAGAACGTGAATGCTCATTCACCGACAACTATCTACTAACGCGCTGCAAAGACTGGGCCCTATTAGCGAGTGCAGTCTCGTGAAATTCCGAATTTTATACGACTTACGAAACTATATTTTTAAATTGTTTGATGGGGCAACTTTATACAATTATATTATTATCACGTTTTATTTTTCTATAATGATCCAATTTTGATTCGATCGGTTGTTTTCGAATATTAGAATTTATACGTTTCAAATGCCAAAAGATCAACAAGCAGGATTTGAGGTTCCAAAACATAAATATTTATTAGCAAGTACTTATTACTTTTTTGAAGATTAATTTTCCTTCGAATCGTATAATATAGAGTTCACCATTTTTGAGATCCCATACTCTTCGTGTATCCTTAAGGTATTTTTATGTTTATACCAACTATTAGTAGGTACTATTACGGTTTAGTACGATTATACATAAGACATTTTATTGATATTTACCAAATATTTTATTATTGATTTGCCAGATGTATTATTTTTACTTTAAAATAGTACTCATTATATTAATATTTCTGTAATTATTTACTATTATATACATTATTTGTTTATTATATTATGTGTGTAGTATTGTATTTGTATTAAATTATAATTTAAATAAATAAATTATGTATTGTATCATCATGTTTATTAATCGTATATATGTATAATGTATATCAATATATCATATTTATAATATATTAACTATCGTACCTTGTACCTACGTTTTGTTAAAATGTTATTAGTTTTACAAATGTTACGATATAAAGAAATCCAACGAAAGACGACCGATCATCATAAGAGTTATAAACACAAACTTTATACTTTTAGTGTCTAAGTACGCATTACATCAATTTTATTTATTGTAATTAAACGAATATAAAATTAAGAAGTCCGTTAGTAAAATATGTAAGTTAAACTATAATATTAACTTTAGCCCAAAGAAAATAAACATTATTGACTTATAGAATATAATATAATTAGTTATGATGATTAAAATTGGTCTTGGTCTTGCGGTCTCGCAAGACTCTTGCTGCAAGACCAAGACCAAGACCAAAACAAGACCGTAACTGCAAGACTCTTGAAGTCTTGCCAATTTTTTTTCCTCGAAAACACAAATTCCATTAACTAATAATTTATAACGACAATAATAAGAATTTATTTGTATTGTTATGGTATTTAATCAGTATTCGAGAGGAAATGGCGAATTATTGAAAAAACGATTAAAAATATAATGGGAATTAAATATTAATATTACAAAATAACATAGTAACTATGTTTCATACTAATTAACAATTACTGAAAAATTATTTTATTTTCCCAAAATCGATAAGTTTCATCTTAGAGACCATAGCAAAAAACCTATATACAGCTTTAACAGGTATTTAGTTTTTTTTAAATATATTTTGTAACAATAGCAAGAGTCTTGGCCAAGACCAAGACTGAGTCTGCAAGGCCAAGACCAATATTTTAAAAGTCTTGGTCTTGGTCTTGTTTTGATCATCACTAAATATAATCAATTAACATAAAATGTATTAGCTTCTGAAAAATGAACAAATTGCCAAAAATATATTTATACTTCTGCAAGATTTCTCTGCGTAGGTACCTATAGCATTACTTACTTAAGACAGGAGTTATTCGTAAATATTCTATCGTTTTAACTTTTGGATACTTATTTAATTTAGAACAATGTATTTAATATTTATTTGTATCCATACATATTAGTTTGAACACTTGAAGTTTAAATTTTTTTTAAAAGTATTAGATAATATTTAATTGCGATTTGTAGAACTGAAATGTGCACCAAACATTTTTCATTTTGGCAGAAACGATGGGCGGGGCTTAAGACAATAATGTGTAACTTTTTATTTATTTCAATAATAATATTTCCTTGTATAGTTTATGTTCACTAACTAGCACATACATTTTAATGCAATTGAGTACAAGTACTCAGTAGTACATATTGTAAACATAATATAATAAGTGCATACAAAAGTCCCGAAAGTCCCGTATATATATTAGGTCCCCTTAAGTATCACCGTGGAAAATCAATACATTTAAATACGGTTTTTTTTTACTGTAATAAGTATGGAAATTCTGATTGAATGCCGTAAGATTTGATTTTTTTTTTCAAAAAAAATATTTAGGTAGGTAATTAAGTTTTTTAAATTTTCAAGTTAGCCATTTTGTTTATTATACTTTTTAAAACAGTAAAAAAAATTAAATATGATAAAAATCTATCAAGTTAAAGAAAATTATGATTTTGAATTTCTAAGAATAACAGTTGTATGTTAGGTACCTCGTTAAATACGAATTGCATGCTTTAATCAATCTCGATTGGAAGTTGGAAAGCTGATATTTTTGTGACAATCTATTAATATTTAAATATTAGTGAAAGCATTCGGTTATGATTCAAAATTATGAATTTTTGATAACCGGTATTTTGTATGTCAAAATTCATAATAATTCAAAAAAAAATTAATCAATAATAAAATATCTATTTAAGTCTGACGATACTTATGCATATTATATAAATATATATATATCTAATTAAAGTTTTGATTTGAATATAAGCAATAAAAGCTGCGTCTGTCGTTAACTGAACATTGAAACTGGTTAGTGGTTACCTATTTTTAAGTATTAGTCGTGGTGGCCTGGTCTATAATTTTATCTTATGAATCATTACAAATTTTTCTAGGAGAACAACGAGATAATAACAATATCGGTTACACAGAAATTTATAAATAAAAAGGTGGGCAAATGGATGTCACTGAGTCGCTCTGCTGTACAGTAAGTTACAAGTGGGTCACTGTAATGGATGGTGTTAAATTTGAATTCAATGATATAACATCATTGTATAAGAAAAACGATTCTGAACTGAAACGGTCAGTCAGCCTACGTTATTACTAAGTATATTAATTGATGGTATTATTGTGAATAAAGTAATTTATATACAACCTATTCACGTGGAACCTTGTTTTAAATTTTTAATTCATAGCTATAAAAGTTGAACATTTTATACATTTTTGACTAAAAAATAATTAGTAAATTTTAAATTTGATAAATTTTGTCAATATTTGAGCTTGAAATGCTTACACAAAAAAAATTGTGACTATGGATTTTTAATTTTTTTCATCTGTCTTTGAAACAATATACTAGGAGCCTTCTATTAAATTTTCAAGCTTTTTTAACCAACAAATAAAATTGTATTGATATTTATAGAAAAAAAAACTTAAAAAAATGGAAACTGAAAATGTCCGTAAAGAGCTCAATATTTGGAAAATGTTATGGTGTATAGAAAATGTTAATACAAACAATCAGTCAAAATTTCATGAACCTACGGTCATTTGTTTAAGTGTTGCACCAAAAACCAAAATCGATTTTCTAGAAAACAGATTTTGCGTAAAAATTCCCGTTTTTCCCTAATTTTTCTTTTGTTTTTCACCGCGCTTTTCACCTGAAACGTTTTTACTTTTAATCCCCCAAAGTACCAACTAGATTCACTTTCCTATCAGAAAATCTAACCATTTTTACTGTCCTAAAAGGTGATGTCAGACACAAAAAAAAAAATTTAAAAAAAAAACACACATCATTGTAAAACAATACATTCATCGTTTCACTCAGAATCTAAAACTAAGATATTGTATAATTTTCTCGAGATTTATATTAGAACCATAAAAGATTTTATCAGCATGTGTTTAAAATATGATGTGTTCCGTAGAAATTAACAAATACTATATTATAATTAACTATGATGTGTAGATAAAAAACAATTTAAGATTTCAAACAAGCAGAGACGCCAACAAATATACCTACACTCGTGGGAGGCGAGTTCGGTCTCATATAATAAATACGTGACGTTAACTTTATGGCCAACTGTTTCGTGACACGTTTAATTTCGTTATTTTTAGTATTTTAGTATTCTTCGAATTTCGTTAGTAGGTATAGGTACCCAGTACCTACCTTAGAAGACGTCGATAATGTCTAACTCTTAACTTTTAACTCGGGGAGACAAACGTATTATTTCTTTATTTGGACTCTTGACATCACTGCGTACTAGGAACATGCCAAAAACCGTATTGATTTCGAATCAGTAAGTATTTCTACTACTATTTTCTACTTAATGAATACAGTTTTATTTTATTTGAATAAAATCATAATTTGTTTATTTTACAACAGTTTTTATGCTGGGCCGTAGATAGAATTATGTTAGTATAAAATTAACAATATAGGTAGAGTGGTAGACAAAATGGAACATGTTTGGATTTCATGATAAATAACTTTTACAATGCAATTTAAAATGTGTTTTATGCTCGATTAATCGACTGGGAACTTGTTAAAAAGTACTTAAGTCACATTTTTAACCAAATCAGTTTTAAGGTAAATAATTTATCTAAACACATCGTTTTGTGTTAAAAAATCACTCGTATCATCTTGTCTGTATAAAACTATTTTTTAATTGATAAAATATGTTGTAAGGATATAGAGCTTTTTTAGGGCTCTATAACCATCCACAGACCTAAGGGGATCACTTAAGCTGTGACCTACAAGCCGCACCGCGTGTTGGCACTAAGGCCAAGTCGGTGGAACTTGTAAGCTTTGGTACATTCATCAAATAATGAACTTTGAAGGTTTATTTAAGGGGAAATAATGTACCTAAATAATAAGAGACAGTGTTTTTTAAGGTAGTTATGCTATGTATTATATACAAGAATAATAAGTTAAATAATAATAATGATTTGACAGAGTGAAATAATAATACATTTTACGGTGAAATTGGGCATCAATATACTAATGATTAATTTTGAGTTAAATAATAATAATAATTTGACATTAATATAATAATTTTGTGGATCGCCTGGGAGCAAATAAATACATTATTTAGAATAATAATACGGGGGTCACATGGCAGCTAAGAAATACATTATTTAGAATGAAGAGGAATAATAATAATAATGAGAATACATCGGGCTTGTCGCAAGTTTTTTGAACCACAATTTAACTTTTGAAAAGAAAAAGTAACGGCCCACGAGGGACAATTGGACACATCAGATCAGATCATCAGATGGGTTACCGGTGGTGTGCTTACAGCATATTTTATAATCATTAATACCTTTCGGTCAATACAAATAAAAACCAGAGGGTCACGTGGCTTGCGACAACAGACGTAAAAAGGGGAAAAAAGGAGAGAATTGGACCCGCGTCTTGCAACGGCTACAAATCGTGCTTTTCAGGGGGGACAAAGGTGAAATATTTATACTTTACAAACGACAGTTTCGACGACTACGGAGACGAGATACATCTCGGCATTGGTGGTGCGGATAACTTCGCCCGGAATCGCGTCTTTAGCCCATCATTGTGTAATGAACACCGTTATGGAAACCGACGACCCGTTCAGGTATGTGTTGGGAACACGAGGTGGTCGTTGGTTTGAACAGGAACTCCGGAGACGTGAATTTACCCAACGTTAGGCGTATTCAGCATCAGCAGTCGAATGAAAAGTGTTTTGTGTTCAGCCGGTGATGTTGGACCGTTGGCCGTCGTTGATGCATTTGGTCCAATGTCGTCAGGTCAAGAGCTTTTATACAATATTATGATTGGGAGGACAGAATGCACTGCGGCGTGCGTGCCGGTGGACGCGATAGAAGCGACGCAGTGCTTTTGCAGTAGGCAATGGACACTGCAATTTTGTCGGGGGACAGGTGTTGCATAACGTTGTTATCGCTAACTGTTATTCGCGCAATAATCTGATCATAATAATTACAATAGAGAGATACTGGTTGTCTCGGATTCGTATTAGTTTTGGCGATTTGGGTACACTCACTATGGTGAAAATAATAATAATAATACCCCAAAGTACTGTGGTGTTACAATGTTAAAATATAAGGTAGGCACGTATGTCCTATATGGCTATATTTAAAGTAAGTATAGGTACCTATATTCCATAAGAGTAAAATAGTTTTTGTTTCTCCTGAAAAGTAGATTAAAATGTAAATAAGTAAGTTCCTTGTAACAAATTTCCATTCAATTAGTCTGTGAAAATCTGAGATTTAATCCTAACTTAACCATTTTTTAGTGATTGATAAAATCACATTTAAAAATCGTTATTTTTTTTATAATACCTAGTTTATATAAAATATATTTTTATTTTAGAATTTACTAACTGAAAATGTATGTAGGTACCTACAAAAATGAAACGAATATACAGATAGGTACCTAAATCACTGATATTGTTCTATTTAATTCAAATTCTTAAAAATGATGTTATAGTTTTATATAAAATGACCTCCCACACCCAAATAAAAAATAATAATAATAAAGACCTAGCGTAGCGATTAATATTTTTTGAATCACGATAAAACTGTTAAAGGAAAAATTGTTATTTTTCGTTTGGGACAACTTGGGACAATGTATTTTCAAAATTTTTAAATTGCTATAAGAAAAACTTGTCAGGAACCTTAAAATGTATATTGAATTATCAACTTATACCTAACTAGTAAGTACCTAACCAAGCTTAAATATTCGTTTCAACAATAAGAGGACGCTACAGAACTAAAAAAAGTTATTCAAGTTTGAAAAACTCAAAAATAATGAATTTTTAAACAATAAGTTTCCTCTTTATAGTGTAAACATTTGGTTTCTTAGCTATTGAGACTACAGCCTGCGAGTGGTTCTTACCCCCAAAAAACAGCGTGTTTGCTATGTTTTACATACTTTGTAAGACGGATGAGACAACATGCATGCAGGTAGTGTCCTCTTAATGAAATCAATTCGTATCTATATTTATGTCCTTTTAAGTAGCTTTTTAATGTAAGTCGAAATATTTAGAAATTTTCATTATGTATACAGAAAATTATAATTTTAGTAATAGATTGTTGATTTTTGTCAATTTTCTAGGATTTATATTTTTAGATTTCTAACGAAATAACACGTCATAATATCGTTGTAGGAGAAGAGGTAATTTTGATGTTTGAGTTTGAATATCACGTTTGAACGTTTCGTCAACATTTAAGCATTAATAACGCTTGTAAAAAATGTATGTGTCTTTACGCTAAACTTTTCTTTTTAATTGCAGTAAGAAAAACAGAATCTTGTATTAAACTGATAAACTTCTTGGCTTATAGGTACAAAATAAAATGTATGCAACATAAATCGAAAAAAAATTTAGTACAGTGCCACTTTTATAATGCCTAAAATCTAAATACTCGAAATAGCTATAGGTATGTATGGCTCAAAATATTAAAAAAATTACATTATACTGTCTTATTATACATGTCTATAGAAAACTATAATATCTATAAATATTTATATTATTTTAAGTCTACATACAACAACTTAAAAAAATCTTCTCGGAAATGAACTTAATTTATGCCTATACACTTGAACACATATGCATCAATGATCAATCATAAACACAATAAATATCGAGAAAATTATGAGACTATCCGTGATTAGATAAGAGCAAGAACTTAGTTCAAAACCGCACACTTATACATATATATCTACCATTCGTAACCGCACATTGTATAGGTACCGTTCAATACCAAATACATAATGTCTATTGTTAAAAATGAACATTTGGAGGGTCAATAGTATTCAAAACCTCACACATTTGATTGACATTTAAAAATTCAATACTATAAATCGTCGTAATTACTATTAATTGTGTTGCTGTGCTGCACATAGAGAGACACCTCGGTACAGTATTTACATCTCTACAGCTCCACTAGAGTTTATTGATTTTACAATAAGGAAAAAACTGATTTTGATACAACAACAATTGTGGAGGTAAGACCACGGACTAAGACATACTTACAGTGAGGCCGAGGCGGAAAACCAGATAGTAGTTTACTAGGGGTTGACAAATTACACGGCTACGTTATCGTAATATCGTTAATATTTGCTGCACAGTATACGTACCTACTCACAAGTCACAGTTAAGTCCATGACCGATAACACACACACCGTCTATAGACATGGTATATAGGTTAAATCGATTGGCATTTGTTTATAATGGAAAGGTATATAAGCAGAAAATCAATTATCTCTTAATTCATATTTATTAATAGCTAATGCGATATCTTCAGTATCATATGGTTTATACCGAATTCTGATATACATCGATGATCGGATAGCACTTAGGGTTCTAAATCTCCATCTCAATAAAATAGGTATAGAAATTGATTTAATGAAAATAAAATTGGTGGCGGAAACAATAACCCCCCTCCCCATTTTAATACCTTACTAATTGTAATATGTAACTGAAAGGTATGTTAGCTACACGAAAACAACAAATAATAATATATATTCAAAAATGTAAAACTAAAATCCTAAAACAGTAAGGCTTAATAGTAACCTATCGGACCTATAAATAAAACCTACTTATTTTAAATAAAGTATAGTATACTTTTATATAAAATAATTGCTAAATTGGCTAAATTTTTTTATTTTATAACCACATAAATGTCGATATTGCAGTTACTTAGCTATAGGTTCATAATAATATGTATTCACTTTAAATTTGCCACTGCAGTTGGTATGGTATAAATGTATAATCGTACTGAAAGATATATCGTATATGTTGCGCTAATAATAATATATAAAAATCACTTGAGATGAACAAATTATGTAACTATTGACAAAGTTTTCAAAAACGATTCTATCGGTGTTTTCATCCCAAATGCAACGGGTTTGCAAGCTCAATAACTGCGAATGGAATTTACTGAGAAACGTCTGGACCATATATTTGAATCTGCTGTCTTCTCGAATCGATTTGCAAATGTTTTTCACGCCTTCGTTGATTGAAACTGAGATTTCGGTACTTGTGATTTTCGGGTCCAGATCGTCCCAAGTTTTTCCTTGTAAATTTTCAAGATGTACATCATGAATGACCTGCTTCATCAACTCCAAGTTAATGGTCTCGGTAAATCTCGGCTTAAACCGAAATCCCATCAACGACTGTAACGACTCCTCTGTATGATGTTTAGGACCGTCCGTCGACGCATTATCCTCAACGTGTGTTATCTCTTGGTCTTCGGACATTAGGTATATATATATATATATAGGTAAGTCCACCTTCCTCAAATCAAATTACCTACACAAATCACAATAATGTTGATTGACAAATCAATTTTATCGAGACATTGTATTTTTCAAAATTTAGTTTCTGAGAGGAGAGATATTGATTTTACAATCAAGTGTGTTTTTTATTTATTTGTGCTTGTCATCAAAATGTCATCATATTTAGGATAGTAAAAATACTTCGATAGGTATTCTACTCCAACATCTTTTCTGGTACGAAAGTAAACCTAGTTAGTACTTTGGAGGTTTCAAGAAAGCCGAAAAAAACTAAAAAAAAAAATTAAGCAACAACGTACAATTTTACCCAAAACCAGATTTTGATAACACTAATTTTGATTTTTGATTTAACTCTAAAAAAACAACCTTAGATAATTATAATGGGAAACGATATAATTTTGTTTATCGATATCGTTCCGACTTTTCCTATATGTAAAGCGGCCCGGAAGCCGTGAAGTGGGTACCGCTGGTCTATGCTCAGAGTTCTTTCTCGTATTCAATGATTTTATATCATTGAATTCAAATTTAACGCACCTATTACGGTGAACCACTTGTCACCTACTATACAATTTAGTGACTTTCCCCGGTTCTTACATATTTTATTATTACTTGAAATAATACTAATTTATACACATACTACAAAGGGGCGCCTGCAGAGAGGGGCCAGTGGCCAGTGGGTGCCATTGCATCCACTGTGATTTTTTTAATGAACAAAAAATCGGTTTATAATAATGTAAATATGTAATTAACTAGGTATGTATAACATAAATTTAATTTGAGCTGATTTTCTGCGGGCGCCCTTGGCTACGTATACCTACAATTACAATTAGCTGAATTTTTTATTTTTCGTAGGTAGCTATTGTACATTTTAGTATTTTTCTACATATTAAAATGATATTGATTAGTCTTAAACGGTGCAAATGACATGTTGATAAGGTGAAAAATGGCGAAAGTTTTGTCCAACGTTTATTTTATCCATTGTACCATGTAGGCAATCAGTTAATTATTGTACAAAATGTACTTACCTTAAAAATTATATATAAGTAGTTGATTTTTCTGTTTTGTAGACGTACAGTTATTTTATATCACACTAGTAGGTATAGGTTTTGTTTGAAATAAACTAATATTCAAATCTCATTGGTAACACCATTGTTTTTAAATCACAATAAACTTAAGTTTGCGATAATATTTCCCTATGGCTACGACTAGAGAGCCTTCAATCTTCATACTACATATTATATAATATATTATTATTATGTATCTTTAGCTACGACCTATAACACATTGTTGTGAAAATAATACATAATATGTATATATATAATATATATATTAATATTATTAAATGTGAATGTAAATGCCTACAGTTACTATTTACGTAGGTACTTACCTACCATTGATTTCATAATATACCTACATATTAAATATTATATTATAAAATCAATGCTATTACGTTTATAAAACAGAACTAAATTATATAAAAATACAAAAACTATATTTTTAACACTATGTCTGAATTTATATATTTGTTTGTCTTACCCATGAATAGCCAATACCATTATTTTAATATAAAATAGGTAAACATTTTTTTTTAAATATTATTATTATTAATTAATTATTATATTTCAATAATATTAATATTTATTATAAGTAATACCTACTTCTTATTAAGTATATTATAATTTGTTTATTATAATATGTTTGGTTAATGGTTTCAATTTGTATTTGTATTTATTTTACCTATACCCAATAATAAAATATAAATTATGTAATAGCTGGTACCTATAATACATTATTAACTATTGTTATGGTTATAATATTAAAATTATCAAGATAACATTGCAAATATTGTAATATCATGATTATTGATACTACAATATATACGTACAAATTAACAATATAATAATTATTATGCTGTTGTTAAAACTTTAAAATTGATTTAAATAGCAATATATGTTTATTGATTTGACAATTTTACTACTAGCGAATACAAGTATACAACAATAGTATTTTCAAATTGATGAAACAATATTGTTGCTCTACAGTTTACATCAACAAGAACATTGTCAAATCAACAATGTTCATATTGATGGAATCAACATTATGCCAATCTGCAACAATACAATTATCAAATTAATACCATAATCTTGTCGGCTCTATATAAATAAGATTATTTTCAATCCAACATACTTTTTTTTTATCAATAGGACTGTGGTTTTTTTTCAGTGCAGGGGTGGCTCCAGAGACATGCAGGTTATGGGTAAGATATAGGTAATTTTCAGGCAATTTCGATGATTATTTTTGTAATTTTGTTTTAACAGTATAAAATCGTTTAGAAATACAGCTTGAGGGGCTAGGGCCCCCCCCCTGGAGCCGCCGCTGTTGAATACTGAATAGGGAGGTATTGGTGATATTACTGCAAGACAAACGTACCTACGTAATATTCTAACTCTTATATGGTATAGTTTTAAGCGTAAAATCATATTTGTTGTATATCAATATTAAAGATAATATAGCTATATTAGGAAGTGATCGAATTGGAAAAAAAAGAAAGGGATTTCCGAGACAAAAGAAAAATTAGCGTTCCTTACAATGATTAAACTCAATACCTAGCCCGGGCCCCCCTAACCATCCGTCTTCGACAATAGATAGGTAGTTGAAATATAAATTATTATATATAGGTACCAATACCAGCAGACCCGGATTAAGAAATAAAGTGCCTGTAGGCTGTAAAAAGTCTTTTGCCCCTAATATTACCACTTGTAAAAATATTTTGTTAATATTCAAAAATATAATATAATAATATAACATTTTTAATTTATTGACCTTATGAATATGTCTATATATATATGTGTGTAAAAACAAGTAAGAAAATTAAATGTCGACGACTCGTGACGACTGACTCAATTACTCAAGGTCATGGCATCGGTAATTGGAAAAAAATCTCCGTAAAAAAATTCCCAGAACAGAATTTACAGCAATAATGCGACGAACAAGTTAAATTTAAATAAATATAAATAATTTATGAGAAATAGGTACTTATATACTTACGTATATAAAAATGAATGTTTGTCTGTCTGTGTGTGTATCCTTTATGCATTCCTAAACGGCTGGACTGATGTTGATGAAATTTGATACAAAAATAGATTAGACCTCTGGGCAGAAGATAGGCTAATTGAAAAGGGGAGAGGATCAACCCCGGGAGGTGCTCAAAGCTCAAACAGGGATTTTGAGATTTCCGATGGACATTTTTCTTTATAAATGGTTGCCATGGGTTTTAAAGCTATTATATTATTCATATTTAGAGTTGGCATTTTTAATGAGCAACGAAGTGCAAGTGATCAGCTAGTAAATTATATAGCTAATATTAATATCACTTAAATTAAATATAAAAATATTAGAAATAAAATTAATTGTATATTCAAATTGTTATAAACAATCTATAGATTATAGAAGATTGCACTTTAAATTTAATAACTTAAGTTTAATTGAATTATTTACTGAGAGAGAAACAACTAAAAACTTTTATTAACATTAAATTAAATTAAAGAGAGCTGCTCACTATGTGAGTTGCCAATAGGCATACTTAATCAATACATAAATAGATGCATAAGGACAAAGTGAAATGTACAGTATTTGTTAACAATATATAGTAGTATACCTATATAACAGTAAGGGTTTATGACGATCTTTAAATTTAAATAAAATGCATATATAATTAAACCAAGAGAGACGAACTTATTTTACTATGAACGTAATATATAGATAGTAATTTATTACTATGTATGTATAATGAATCTTTCAAAATAGATAGATATATAAATATATATATATATTTTGATAAAGTCTTAAATAGCGAGGGAGGTTGTGTGATCTCTAGTAGGTAAAAATTGCCGAAAGTTTAACCTAAAGAATTTTTTTTTTCACAATCAGATTAAATGAAATTGATAGCAGCTTTAATTTACTATTTTAGATTTCAGACAATATTATATATTAATATATTATAGGTATCATCGTACGTAAGGACAGACTCAGTGTTGTAAAGTACTTGAGTAGAAGTAGGTATTAAAATACTTTTTAAGTACCTACTCAAATAGATATTTTAAATAGGTACCTATGTATACACGGAAAAAAAAAATTACAATTTATTTATTAGTTCCGCGGTGGCAGCCGATCGATACGCACGTATCTCGCGCTCCCGCTCTTCTTAATTTCCTAATGACCTAATTAGTGAATGTCTACTTTCAATGCTATAGTAGTGTATACTTATTACCCACAGTGTTAAACTTAACGTTAAATAACTTTGTTTTTTTATAAAACTTTCCATGATAAACTGTTTAAGGTAGTGCGTAATGCGTTTTATTCAAGTGCCAAAACGCACTATTATTTTATTATACGTAAGCCTCAGTGTTATTACGTAACTGTTTCATTGCGGTTATCTTATCTCCGACCGCCGTCAGGCGGTCTCGTTTCATATTATAAATATAACTGTTCACCGCCGCTTACTCATTAATTAATATGCCGACAAAAAAAACTAATCAAAACACCAACGCTAATCAACAACCCAAACTCAAGGAAAAAACGCATAAACAATCAGGTAATGATAATACTCAAAATAACATGGATAAGGATGTAAATTCAAGCGACCCCTTCATCCTGGTTAAAAATAAAAGAATTCTTTCTTCCTCCTCGCAAGCATCATCTGTGAGTGCTACTTCAAAATCTTCTCAGACACATACGCACAAAAAAACAAAATTGTTCCAATCAACAAATCGTTTCCAAATCCTTTCCCAAGAGGTTGTGACTGGTCCTGACACACCATTGCCTCCAAATCTGGATAATGACAACCACGATGATGTTTTCAAACCTCCCCCTCCGATCTTTGTGAGAGGTATACGCAACTTCTTAGATCTATCAAAAGCACTCATCGAACTAATCGGTGTGGATAACTTTTTCTGTAAAGCATC